TTTTATTTTTGCTTCTCTCTTTTTTTTTTTTTTTTTTGGCATGCTTTAGCAGCCTTTCAGTTACAGCCTTCCAGTGTTCTCACAGGTACATTAATTCTACAGTTAAAATAATGTTTGTCTGAATATTTTTTGTAGTATACATTAGAACTGCCTATGTATACTTTCAAAGTTCTATCCCACCAAGAAGACTTCTGATGGTTTTTGATTACCTCAGAGAGATTGTCTTCTATTTTAGCTGCCCAAAACCTGTATGTACAGCTTTATTGAATAAAAATTGAAATTAAAAAAAAATAAAAAACCCAACCCAATCTTCCAGGCCTGTTTTCTTGTGAAAACAGCCTTGACACATTAATCAATAATATAGCCAGTTTTCAGTTTACAGTTTCATGTAAACAAACATCTGGAACCTTTCTGAAGATTTTGTAGTGATCACACTCCTTTCTTCTCTTCTTTTAAACATACATAGAGTGAGCCATGTGTGTTTTGTCCCTACCCTCTGTGAAGAAAGGACTCTAGATTATTTTGGTGAGAGGGAGAATGAGTAATATTCAGGTCATTCTCGAATATGGGAAATACTCTGAAAATTTATTTCAATAAAGATAATGCTTTCTCAGCATTCTCCAGGAAAGGGAGAGCTCTCAGGTACTCAGAATCCTGCATATCTATCTACCTCACATCACAGACTGGAACTCTGCGTATCCTGTCAGGGATGGAGGCGACTGAGAAGGGACGTATGAAAGAACTCAAAAAAATTTTGAAAAGTGCTGTCAGACAGCAGACCAAAGGAACTCATTGAAAATTTAAATGCCTCTGTGGAATCTCAGCATTTTGACAAACTGGTAAATGCTCATGAGGAGCCTTTTCATCTGACTTTTCTGATCATCTCCATTACTCAGCCTGGATTGGTTTAGACTTCAGCCACTGAAAATTCTCTGCCAAGCAGCCTACTTCAGCTGAGCCAGCTCTTCTGCTGAGGAACAAGTCAGCAGGATTTCAGACCATCAGACAGGGTATCCCAACAGTGGGAGAGTTGGCATAAAGGAATTGGTGATGCCACTGATACCAACTCTGAGCTCTGAACCACTTTTCTAATTTTTTGGCAAGTCAATGATACTGACATTTTCCACTGTGGTGACTTAGTGTTGGACAGCTGTAACGAGACTTGGCAAACACCTGTACTTCACCTTACTTACATTTAATTTAATCCTTCTGCCTCCGCTTCCCAAGGAAAATTGAGGAAAATAGAATTATTATCTTCATAGAGGAGTTGTTGTAATTAATGTTTTCTAAACATTCAAGATGTAATTCAAGTACACAGCAAACATTCCAGCTAAAGACAATTAAGGATGTGAAAATCTTCTGCAATTTGGTATATGTATTCCTTTTTCTTACTTTCTGGTTTGATTTTTTTTTTCCAGTAATGATACCATGTCAGTTCAAGTAAGGAAGGGGAATCAGAAGAAACCAGTGCTTAAGAACTTCATGCAATATGATCTTAATAATTACTAAATTTTTTTAACTTCCATGGGATGTGCTTTTCTTCCTTCCTTTATCATTAATTTTATTGACTATATTTTGTCAGTTTACCCTCAGCTTCTATCATCTGAGATACTGGTTTGATCTAAGTCAGATAGGGCTTTTTTTAACATTTATTTCCAAAGCAAGTTACAAATGGTGCTGTAATAGCCTTTGCAGAATTTTATAGTACTTCATGTGATGGTTACATCATGCGATGTGTTACATTCTTTGCCTGAGATTTTTTCCCCTAAAAGAAGCATCTTCAATAGAAATTATATCCTTACCCTTTACTGTTCCCATTTCTTGGCATAACTTTCAAAAGCAGTGATTCAGAATAACTTAAGAGCCCACAAATATAAATGAATCTGCCGCCCTTCCTCCCAACAGAGGGTTCTTTAAAATCTAGACTGTTTTTCAATATGGGCCTCCATGGATTTAAGCACTTTTGAAAATCAGGCCTTTTAGTTACGTGTTTACGTGTCACTTGAGGAAACAAATTTTATAATCCCAGTAGGAAAAGCTTGTCCTTAACTTTTCTCAAAAAAACAAGCTAGATTTTTATGCAAACACATGTTGCATGAACATCTTTTAGCTGAGTATATTCCTTGGCTTTTCCACAAGAACTGATGATCCAGAACAGTTTGAATTTCTGGTGGGCTAAAGTACGATGACTGGTGCTGTTCTTGACAGAATATGAGTTATAAAAAGCCTGTGACTGTGACGCCTGCTGGATGAATTTTGATTAGAGAGCCCATTTGAAACTGTGCTTTGTGCTTCTGAATTGTTTGTTTGATAAGCATATACTCCTTCAAAGCAATAGCTACAATATCTGTTGTAAAAAAAAGGATTATGTATTTTTTGTTTTTGTAGACGTTGATTTTGAACCCTCAAGTTTAAATTTTTTATTCAGAGGAACCTTTATTTTAGCACTATGTAAAGTAACAAGGAAGAAACAAGCACAAGATTCAGGCTGCTAACACAAATAGTAACAGGAGTAATTCAAGATTTATTACATTTCTTTTGTCGTTAAGGGCTTGTTTTCTTGAAGGTAAGGTGTGAATAGAAACTTCTTAACTATGCAGAATTTGGAAAATAAGAGGCAAAAATATAAGAAACTGCCATTTCCTCCTTAGTGTACTTTTTCTTAACACAAACCAACAGGGGGAATCGATAGACTGTTCTAATAGCATAAGTTGTGGTCAGTATGTTTTTTTTTCTCCTCTCTGTCTTCTCTGCTCATTTTTGATGGAAAAATAGATCCAGAAGAGTTTAGAAATCATATAACAGAATATGGGAATTTTTTTAAAAATTAAAACTTGGAATGCAAGGCAAGCTTGAAGATTCCATGTCCTGTAGTTTATTCTATGCAAATATTAAAATCATTCCTCTGTGTCAAATAATAAATCATATACAAATAACTGGTAGCAATAGAGTGAGGTTACGAGTGGACCATGTTTCCAAGCATTTGGAGGGTGGGGAGTGTGCAGGTACAGATTTGCCATGTGACTTTTTTGCCTGTGTAGGGTTCCTTGAAGTTATACAAGTATATTTGAATTTAGCCTTGATACTCTGCTCTTGGGATACTTGATTGTGAGTCATATTTTTGTAACACCAGTGCTTTTCATGGAATTATAATTAATATTTTTTATTATCATCACAGTACAGGCCAAATTTCACAATTAGTCCCTGCAGCTCCATTTTACCTCCTGAAGAGTAGTTCTCTTGTCACTCTCCCATTTCATTCCAGTCTGTGCCAGGTAACCATTTGGAGATAGTAATCTCTTTTTTTTTTTTTCTGGAGACTCTCCCAGAGTCAGCATGAAGTCTCTAGTCCTCTGAAAAGTACTTGTGGCTTTTGTAGGATACTTCAGCCATACCTGTACTTTGTCCATGTTGAGGAGCAAGAGCAGCGCAGACTCAGCACCTTTTCTGTCCACTGACTTAAAATTTGTTTGTAAGGTGTTTGGAGTAGAAATCTACTCAGCTTGTGTAAGGATGCTTCATAAGGGATTCCAGAAGTCTCTATGATGCAAATAAACATATCTCAGGACATGCAGAGGTATTTTAGGAGTCAGTCTTTATTTATTTGCCTAAAAAGCAGACATAATCCTGCAAAAAAATACTCTTTTTGGTAGGAGGTCTTTTTGAAGTCCCGTATTCTAGCGTTTGGCTGAAAAAAGAAGTTTCTGTATAGATGAGAACAGATGAATATTCCTCGCCCATGCTCCACAAGTTGTCTGAAATCACTGTATCTTTGCAGCTACATCCCTTTGAAAATGCACTGCTCCCCATTCAGCTGCTCCTGGATCAGTCCTGGCCTTTTCCTGGTGGCTGGTAGAGACTCTGCTGTCATGAGTGAGCACCACTCGTTTCTCCCAGTGAGGAGCAGGGATTATACTGTTGGCCTCGATATAATTAGAAGTAAAATTTGCTTGTGTCATGTATCTGTTAAAAGGCAGCTTTCAGAAAAATAGAAACTATTAGTTACCCCCATTTAATAATTATTAAATATGGAAATATAATCCTAATATGACAGCAGGATCACTTATACAACAGGCAGTTGTATTATTTTTGGGAATGTGAAATTCTGCCATGAGTCAAATTGTGCCTAGTTATATTCAAATTTTTCTTTTCTAATCAGCAGCTGGCTTTAGGCAGAGAGTTCCTTGTGTTGACTGTCTAGAATGCTGACTGTATGTCTAGAATGCAGACTGTGGTTGGCAACTGCTGTTAAGAAATTTCCTGTGCATACTACCCCTCTTAGTGAATATCATTCTATTTTGAGCCTAATTGAAAACTGAAGATAGAAAACTAAGCAGTTATTTTTCCCTGCAGTACAATATCTAATATTCTGATTTCATGGCTGTCTGACTGCAATGATTAGGAAGGACATTTTCTCAAAGTGTTCACAGTGCCACAGTAATGTATCAGGAGCATTGCATATCAAGGAAAGGAACTGTTATATTAAAATATATGCCACTTAAAAACACACCCAACTGAAAAGTAGGATGCTGTTCTGTTACATTAGGTACAGTCAATAATTGCCTTTTCATGTCTTTTTCTTTGAAAAAGCTATTAAGAATGTAGAAAACAGCCTTCAACTAAAAAGGCTTTAATAGGAGAAGTCTGCAATAACAAAGGTAACACTTCTGCAACAAAGGCATTTTGTGTTCAGAACTCTCCTTCCATGTTAAGTCCACGATGCTGTGGTTATTTTTCCTGGTAGAGAATGGGGATATATTTGTGTAGTTGCTGGTGATTATATAGCTGAACTTAACTTGAACAAGCTACTCTGTGGGACAAATGCTTGTTTGTTAACCTCTGTGTTAAGTGGGAGAGAAACCCCCAATATTTACAATAGGATGCTGGTGAGGGGTAGTAAACAAGGAGAGACACCTGTTAAAAATGTCCCATAATCTTGCATAGAGAGTTAGAAAAAATACTACAAATTTAAAATGTTTGCTTCTCTTTTTTTCTATCAGATAGTATTACTGAAGTCTTCACTAACATCTATGTGACCAGTTTTGGACCTGTGTCAGATACTGATATGGTGAGTTCCTGACTCTTTTGCATATATGGGTAAATGGTGTAAGATATATATAAATTTCCTTTAAACCTGTATTCTTTTACTTATTGTGGATGAATGTGAAACAATTTCACTGAAATCAGAACATGCCAAACCCCATGGAGTTTGAAATTTGGAAATTGATTTATGGACTTTACATGATAAGTGTGCTTGTGTTAGCTGTTTAGTTTAGACCAGTAAATCTTCTGATTTTCCCACTGACTGTACTTTGGTTCATATTCTGGAGTAATCTTGAGATGGATGAACTGGATTCCTCCCACATGAAAACCTGGAGTGAAAGGAGCATTCTTAATATTGGCAATAGACTGAGGGGCCTGATGGGAGTCGAATCTAAATTAAACTTCTTGAAAGGCATAGCTTGGAAGCTGGGTCATCAACAAGATTGTGGGTTTTACAGATCTGTCCTTGATAACTTGCATTGTTTAGTAAGCATTTGAAGAAGTCAATGACATTAAAAAAGAAAGAAACTTTCAGAATATTGCTCTGGATTATAGGAATTGTTTGTAGGCTCACTGCAAATAATACAGAGATTAGGGAGAATGTTTCACACTGGGTAGAAAGACCTGATGGATATAGTTCTCTAAAAGGAAAGGGAAGGACAATCTCAAACTTACTTTACCTGTTGTGCTCCTGTTCACTTGCCTGGTTTAGGGGAAGGTGGTTTAATTGATGCTGGGCAATGTATGGGAGAGAACAAAATTCTCAGAAGAGTCAACAACAAACTTTTACTTGCAAAATGTAGAACATTAAGATAGAGTCAGATACATGACATATGTTAAAATAACATCCAGGTAAAGTAAGTACTTCACCAACTTTAATTTAGCAAACTTAAACTTAGCCAACCTTAGCAAATTCAGACACAAGGCACTTACTAAGGCATTGACAGGAATTTTTTAGTCTGGCTGACAATGTATTTTGAGAAGAAAGGGAGAAAGAAAGGGAAGGAAAGGATAAGAGCAGAATGATATCAGCGTCTGTGGATTTAGTAACAAGGCTCGATTGTTGCAATTTTAATGTCCTTTGGTCTAAATGGTATCTTGATCCATAGGGGGTGGCGGAAACCCGGGAAACACAAATTCCAGAAGGTTTATATATGCTTAGCTTTAGATGAATGCCCAGGCACCTTCCCTGGGGTGGGGAGTTTTATGCTGTCTTTTGCAGCACCCTGGATCTGTTGCAATGCTGTGGATCCTGCGCAGTCGTCTGGTGGAAGACCCCAGGAATTATTCTGGGGGTATTTTGAGAGTCTTTGGTGGTTTATGACACCTTCTAAGACACGACAACTGCCTCTCAGTCAGTGCAGTTGATCCCCTTATGCCCCATCAGAAAGGATGAACATCTTCAGGCCTATGTGTGAATGTCCCAGCATGTCCCCCAGGTGGGGAGGAGTTTTACAACTGAGCCACTTGTGTAAGGAAGGACATCAGCATGATAAAAAGTATTAATCCACCTCACAGGATCTGCTTCTTTTTGGCTTCTTCCCTCATCTGTCTCAAACCCCAGCTTCTTGCTAAGCAAAGGCTGCTTTGTCATGGTCATTCCCTGGTGCTCACACCCTCTGCACCTGGGCTGTTACTGTGCTCATCCGCAGCAAAGCACCTGCTGCTTTTGCAAATGGCTGATTGTTCGAGCCATTAGCCATTAACATCTCAGTCTCTCACACCACCCTTGCCAGTCCTGTGAGAAATTATTTTTGAAGTGTTTCAAATATTCTTTATTATGTATGGGATATATTAAATACTACCTTGGTGTATCTGTAGGTATTAAAAATGAATATATATATTTTTTAAAATCAGACAACATTTCTTTTTCTATGAAAAAAAATCAGGTTATGCATCATACAAAACAGGGAACATTATGATGTTGTGAACAAGTGTATGAAGCTAAATTTTTCATGGTACATTGAACATTTTAAAAGTTGTTTGCTTACTGACTACCACATAATCAGAGCTTTGGAAAATATATTCTGGTGGGGTTTTGTGCATTTTTTTTGTGTGGGATCGTTTCAGTTTCCAAGCTCTGTTTTGAAAGTTATGAATACACGAGTAAGACTTCACATGAAAGGCCGTGAAAGGCCATTTCATAGGAGAATTAGACTTTTGTTTTTATTACTGTACATGTTGCTGATTCTCCTGAAGGTGTTTTTTTCTAATGATTTTAGGTTTATGAAATCACTCTTATTTTGTTAATAATTTTGTAAAAAAGGTATCCACAGCTGTGTACAAAGATAATATGAACATCTTGACCTTGTTGGTCTAGTATCTCATGACTTCAGAGTGGTGAAGTCTTGCATTTATGGTAGTCCTGTTTAACAGGGAGATGATATTAATCCACTTTTGAAGATGAGTGCTGAGGCACAAGGCGACTTAACCAAGGATGTGCAAGTCATCTGTGCTTAAATGGAAAAGTAATGAAAAGCTCCCTCCTATTCCTCCCTCCCAACACCCTTCTGACATCAGTAGATAAATGTATGGAGAACGCTGGGTGTCTATGTGCATAGACATACAGACAGTGCACAGATCTATGCAGAGGTGTTAATCAAAGCAGAATGCAGTGCATCAGAATGCCAGCTGGTGCTCTAATGGGTAGGTTTGTTTGCAGATAAGTAGATAGATGAGTAAGAGCAGTTTAATTCTTATTACTACAAGCTTCAGGGTTAATTTAGCTTGTTCTGTTGATAATTATAAAATAATTTTGAAACGTATGAGCAGTCAATGAGAAAATTCCAACATGTGAGTTTTGAAATAATAGCTTCCAAACCATTGCATATTCTGTCGAACATGAAGGTGACATTAGTGTTTTAACTACGAGTACTTTTTCATTTAGGAGCTGCATGACTGAATCAATAATTTAAACTATTATACAGAGGATTCATTGATATTTTCTTCTGTAAAAGTGGGAAACTCTGGGATATTATATTTTTTAAAATTTCTTCCTTAAAAGGCTTTATTGGAAGAATAAATTTGACTCTTGCCCATGTCCTCTCTAATTTTTAGAGGATCCCAAGCTCAGATTTTTTCAGAAGGTTGAGTCCCATCTCCTGACTCCTTGTCACTGTTGGCACAATGTGAATGGTGAGGTCCTCAGTCACATGAGGTATTTAGCTGAACACTGCTGTTGCCCAAAACTCTTCTGATTATTGCTGCACTTGGATTCCTTCCACTGGGGTTTCTTATAGTGATAAAATCATCAGGTGTGTGACTGCACCCCTTTGCATGATCTATTTTGCAGTTTGTTTTTTCCTCCTTGGTTAGTATATTGTGAAGCATAATGGTGCTTAGAAGAAGGAGGGTACTTTTGAAAACAGGAGGGAGACTCACTGACATGGGAGTTGTTTAATATGTGTTTACAACATGGAAGAAGGAAGTGGCACGCAGGCAGTGATGGCTGGATTGGAGCTAAGGACACAGTTCTCACGTAGTGTTGATACACAGAGTTGATAAAATTTAATTCTAACCTTTGTTGTTGAATTACTCTGAATTTGTGCGGTTTCTGTTTTCCTCACTAGCTGTTCCCATTAATGGTAATATGGTATGATGTTCGATCTGTGACTCAGTCATTGTTCATTGTGGGTTTTCATTCACATTTGCTGTATTTTTCCAGTATCACAACTTTGCCAAAAAAATCATTATATCCAGGGGAATTTGATATTTGACTGATTTTAAGCTAGCTGAAGTTGCTGTTGAGAAATTCAGGAAGTGGAAGCTGAGGCTGAGATTTTTCTCCAAATGTGTTAAGAGTCAAAAACATTTGGTCCTTGCAGTGGATTAACATTTTGACTAAGTTCAAAAGATGCTATCTGTTCTGACCAGCATAGTCAGCTACCAAATGTGTTCTCTCTTGGCCAGGAGTCAGTTGCAAACTGTGCTTCAAATGAACAAAAATATTTAGGTATCTATATCATTTGTGTCAAAGAAAAGCTATTGTATGTCAACCACTCTATTTAATGTCAAATATGCAGTGCCAATATATAAGGATTTTCAACTTCCTTTTGCAAACTAGTGAGAATCAAGGATGGCAAAGCAAAACATGGGTTTAAAGAGATTTTACTTTCACTCTTCTGTCTTTTTGAGCTGTTCCTTCTCAGAAACATTCATGTTCAGTATTGTGATGCTATGCCTTATAGGCTTCCAACCCAATCAGTGATAAAAATTTATTTTGACATTAGCCCGAGAGAAGAAAAGCTGCGTTATTTAGAAAAACAAACAAATGAAAAATTGGACTGAGCAACTGAAAAACAAAGCAGCTCTTAATTTTCTGAAGAGTTATAGGACTAAATTCTTATTACAGAGGCTAATTAAAGCATTTATCATGAAATTAAAGTGTTTAATTTTGAAAATTCACAGGAAAGGGATGAACTTGGTTGGACTATAATTTGTAGGATATAAAAGGATTGAACATTAAACCTGATTATTTTTCTGTTTTTAAAAATTAATTATTTGGAATCTGGGAGACTGCACCCTCATTATAAATCTACATGCTGTTAACTTGAATTTCATCACTGAAAGCAATGTATTTTTACCTCTTTTTCTCAGACTTGGTGTCTTTCCAAGCTCTCCTAATACTTTGGCTCCTAAAATTTCCCCCATAACCATAAACAAATTAAGTCCTGATGTCGACAATTGGAAAAAAAAAAAAAAAAAAAAAAAATATATATATATATATATATATATATATATATATGAGATTTATTTACTCCTCAAGCAACAGTTATTTTATGTAAGACAGATTATGTAGGTATGGAGACCCTTTATATAAGGTCTGCTGTGAAGAAAAATTTGCCAAGATTTAGCAAATTTTGCCTCAGAACAGTCTTTCTGACTGTCGTTGGGAGCGGTCTTCCCTGCTTTCCTCCAGCACATGGTTAGTAGGTGGCAGGACTTGAATCAGTTTAGCTTGACTATTTAAGAAGCCTTCTGAAACTTTTGTATTTCAACTTGCAGTCTTAGATTTTCATTGTTATT